CTCCTTCTCCCGCTCCCGCTTTTCCTCCCGCTCCTCCTCCCACCCCTCCTCCCGCTCCTGCTCCCGCCCCTCCTTCCGCGTCTCCTCCGCTCCTTCCCGTTTCCCCTCCCGCTCCTTCTCCCGCTCCTCCTCCCGCTCCTCCTTCCGCCCCTCCTCCTCCCCGCTCCTTCTCCCGCTGCTTCTGCTCCTTCTCCCGCTCCTCGTCTGCCACACAACGTGACAAAGATCCCGCTTCTTCTCCCGCTCCTAACCCCCTCCCCATTTCCCCTGGCCCTCCTCCGCTCCTCCTCCCGCGCCTCGTCCGCTCCTCCCGCTCCTCCTCCTGCTCCTCCTCCCGCTCCTTCTCCCGCTGCTTCCGCTCCTCCTCCCGCTCCTCCTCCGCCAAACAACATGACAAAGATCCCACCATAGCCATCTGCTACCAAAAAAAAAAGAAAAAAGGCCCCCACAGAGAGAGAGAGCGACTGACCTCCCGCAGCTCCTCCACTGCAACTTCGTCCTCCTCCCGCTCCCGCTCCTTCTCCCACTCCTCTTCCCGCTCCTCCTCCCTCTCCTTCTCCTGCTCCCCCTCCTGCTTCTCCTCTCGCTCCTCCTGCTCCTCCTCCTCCCATTGCTTCTCCTGCTCCTCCCCCCGTCCCTCCTCCCGCTCCTTCCCCGCTCCTCCTCCCGCTCCTCCCGCTTCTCCTCCTCCTGCCGACGGACTGCCGTTCCACAAACTTCCCGCTGCCAGTCACCACCGAGTTTTGGCTTGGCCTGCCCAGTGGGCCCGGCGCATTCCCAACACAGGAATCGGGGTCTCGCGTGGGACGGTCAAGCGAGACCCGCTCCTTTTAAGAGCATTGGAGATAATATAGAGAGACAGCTCTCCAAGTAAATCCTAATAATGAAGGATTTGCACAGACCATCAAGGGTGGAAGAGATGAAGGCAGGGATGCAGAACCAGATTTCCTTTACCATTATTTCATCTGTGCATAAGCCCTCTATGGACAGTCCCTCATCTATCCATAAACCCCTCTACCCTCCTCTTTGTCCATGAACCCCTCTACCCTCATCTCCGTCCATGAACCCCTCTACCCTCATCTCTGTCCATAAACCCCTCTACCCTCATCTCTGTCCATAAACCCCTCTACCCTCATCTCCGTCCATAAACCCCTCTACCCTCATCTCTGTCCATAAACCCCTCTAAGGAGAAACCTTCATCTGTCCATAAACCCCTCTATGGACAACCCCTCATCTCTGTCCATAAACCCTCTATGAAGAAACCTCATCTCTGTCCATAAACTCCTCTATGGACACAACCTCAATGGAGAAACCCTCACCTCTGTCCATAAACCCCTCTATGCACAACACCTCATCTCTGTCCCTAAACCCCTCTATGGACCACCCCTCGTCTGTCCACCCACCCCTCCATAAACCCCAAGCTGGACATTCGGAGCAAGAACAGACAAAAGCCTTGTGAAGGAACCCTACTCAAATTGCTTTCTTTTTGTCTTTTTCCTTAGTAAAAAAAAAAGCACCTGCACAACCAACCTAAAAAGCAAGGACGTGTTTTCAAGAAGGAAGAAAAAACGAACAAAAAGAAAGAGGCGTAGCCACATAACCGTACATTACCTACCCAGCAGTATTTGGAATAAAAATAAAAATGAACCTAGGTGTCCCATTCAGACACCAGGGCCCCAGCTGGGAGCCTCATATACAAACTACCTTTCTCTTTTCTTTTTTCGTTTTTTTGCAAATTACGTTCGCGAATCAATGTAGCATTAAGAATTAAGAATATAGTCTAAGAAATTGAAAATTTATACATTAAATAATTATTGATTCAAGTCACTAAGAGAGGCTCACCAAACAAACAACCAAAAAAAAAAAAAAGAAAAAAAAAAAAAGCAAGCAAGCACCCTTATCTGACCTGCCAGTTGACCCATCAGGTGTGGCTAAACTGCGGTTAATCCTTAAAATCCCCCCCCAGTTCAATTCCCTCCCCTCCCTCCCCACCAATAGATGGACTGACCCAAATAGACCCTAATAGGGGGGGCTGCTCTTATCACCCAACCTACTAGGATACGCTGAGTCTTGAATTTATTATATAAATAAAAAAGGGGTCGTAACTTGATCAAAGCCTAGAAAGAGGGGTCATAGGTGACTGCCTGAGGCTGAGGAATGTCTGAAAACGGACCTAGGATGAAGGGGTATTATCATGGCCTGAGCAAAATGCTGTGTCGAGAACCCCCACGTGAGAAGGCCATAATATCCAAGCCGGCAGCCATTTCAAAAGAGAGAGAGAGAGAGAGAGAGAGAGAGAGAGAGAGAGAGAGAGAGAGAGAGAGAGAGAGAAACAGACAGACAGACAGAGTGAGAGAAACAGAGAGAGGGAGAGAGGCTGACGGAGACCGGTTTGATTCTTTAGGCGGCAAAAAAATTATGGAGAGAGAGACTCGGGGAGAGAGAGAGAGAGAGAGAGAGAGAGAGAGAGAGAGAGAGAGAGAGAGAGAGAGAGAGAGAGAGGCTGACGGAGACCGGTTTGATTCTTTAGGCGGCTAAGAAATTACGTTCAGCAATTTAGGGGGTCCACCTTACTGGTGGTGCTTTAAAGTTAAAAAAACTAAATAAAATGAAGGTTGGGAGTTCGAGAGAGGAACCACCTACCTTGATTATAGTCCATGGCGATTCCAGAGTAACGAAGAGGTTTCCAGTAGTCACTGACAACAAACCAAGGGGCTGTCTCCTCACAGTACCTGTTCCACCATCCACTCACATGCATGCCAGTGAGATAACAGTCAAAATCAAAGAGGAAAAATAAAAATAAAAAATAATCTCAGACAACCGTCAAAAAGTTAACAGAAAGGGGAAAAAAAAAAAAAGATAACCTCAAATCGATTCGTTCAAAATAAATAAAAATAATAATTAAATTAAAAAAAAAAAAAGATTTGTTGAATGGCAAGAGTGCCGCTCAGCGCCATTCAGGGGCAATCCCACAATATAATCCACAAAATCAGAAAATCTACAAAAGGTCATGGTCAAGAACAGTGATGTGACCACTATGATACAAACACAACCAACTGTTCTCGACTTTGTTACTTGCACTTGGACGGATATTTTCTAGGCGGCAAAGGAGGGGTGTGTCATGTCTTCATGTATGTATTTCATGTGTGTGTGTTTGAAAACACCCCGAATTCTCTCTCCAATTCCATCCACAAATCATCACAAACCATCCATAGATCAAAAAAAGGTATAGGCGGGCAATATAATAGAAGGTGCAAGATTCCCCACGTTTTTGTGGCTGAGCGGGAAGTGCCCACACACTGGTCTGCCGCCCAAGCGGCACACTTGCACAGATATATACATATAGGGTTCAGCCTCCTGATGAGTCGGTGAAACTCCGACGACACAGTTTGTCACAACCCCCCCTCGTTTCTTGTCCTCTTCTCCCTCTCTGCGGACAGTTTACCGGACAGTTCTTTTTGACGATATATATATCGTCACAAACAGAACTGCCCGGTAAACCGTAGGCAGAGAGAGAGAAGAGGACAACAAACGAGGGGCTGTGACAAACTGTTTCGTCG